AGATAAAGCCTTCGGGCATTATTCAATCCCGCCTGAGGGATGCTCCACGCATTCGACTAACATTCAGAATCGTAGTGGCATATTGAATGCGTAGTTGCTGCTTTATACAATGACTTGTGGTGGTCAGCTCAAGTCCGTGCTTTTATCCTCCCAGACAAGTCTGGTAACAATAAGTCAATCCCAGAGGGATGGAAGGCTTAGTTGGCGTGAGCAAATATCAAACCGGGATTCGAACCCGTGACCATGCGTAGGTGATAGTGTGCCGCTTGCCATCAAACCACCTTCAACACGATAATGAATAGTCTGACATTTTCTGTTCACTCTCTAAACCTATTTTATTTTCTGTCGATTTTGAAAATCTAATTTTGAGAGAGCTGCTGCTTTCGGCATACCAATCGGTCAGCGCATGTATGCGCCAACAAACTTGGAGCAACTCGAGAAGCTGGTTGAGCGTCAGGAGGCAGTTTACGCTGCCACCGCTCAACCTGCCCCTTCTCCGGTACAACCACAGCAGGTGGGTCGTTTCACCTGACTCTAGCCCGAAGAGCCAGTAATCATGGCAGTAAGGTAAATATACTTCGGTGTCCTCTCTCTTCTAAGTTTCCGCCGATAATATCTAAGCTTGAGTGTAGTAATGTTTTGCAAATAGCCGGAAAAGCGCTATCGCAATCAATTGGCTGGTTAGACAATAAATTGATGAAATGTCATTTTTCTTACCACTCCAATACACCTTATGTCGCCCAGAACTTCTAAATTAAGGGCACTCGGAACGAGATTTATGCTGTTTTCTTCACGGCTGAAAAAGTTGAATAATGATGCTGACCTTTTCCACTGATTCAAAATTTCCATTTTCGTTGAAATCTCATTTTGTCCAAAAACTCCGATCCAGCCGTGGTCACACACATTGTACAACTGAAAATGAATTAAACTGAATAGGCCATTCATCAAATTGGAGCCAATTGACTGGCACGATGGTCTCCCTCGTCGAGGCTAAGGAACTCTGCATAACAAACACAGGCGTTCTCACACCCGAGTCTGAGGGATTTGGTTTATTTCCGAACCAGTTGGGTCGCCCAGCTCATGCCGGTCCCCCATATCTTCCATATCTTACATTTACTGAGCAGTGAAAAATGCCCCTCCTTTCCTCCCCTCCCCCTGTAAGCGAAGTAATGCAGAGGAATGTAGGATAGAACTGAGTTATCCATATCACTGCTAATCATAAAGTTTGCGGACGGACAGACATACAAACCGACAAACCTACAAACCGACACACCAAGTTACTGCTTTATAAATAAGAAGGATTAGAGTCAATAACTGTTACTGCCATTTTTTATCATCCGCTGCTACCACTTTTTGAGGGAACATTTCAGGAAGAAGAGATGAGCGATGTATCTGTTGGATTGGGCAGTCAGTCGGATAGGCGACGAGCTCCTGCGATCCACTTCAGCAAACAGGTCAGCAGAGCCATATATTTGTGCATTCTAACGACCTTTTACTATTGGCCTCCACTGTTCTGGTCAGAAATTGCAATTTCGATGGTCCACAATTCACAATTATAGCTTTATTCCTGAGGTTTTTTGCACGAACTCTGAGCACACAATAACGGCAATGTTATGGGTCGAATTGACTTTTCAGGAGGATTCCACTATATCTACCACATCAGTCGATGAGAACCTAGATCAACTCCTTCCAACGACCCCTATTCCTGTTGCAAGCTCGAAATGCAACAGTCAGTTGCTCAAGAAGATCATGCTCGATGTAAGTGTGTTTTTATTTATACTATGTTTGTATTTACGCATGTGAACGAAAAGAGTATGCTAGTGACGAATAAGCCACTGAAAGTACACCACAAATGTCGTATCCTTAGAGTATTGGCACTACTCATACACCTCATAGAGCTTACTACGAGCATACTGACTGACTGTGAAGGCCAGTTCTCACTACCAGCTTTTGCTGCACGGAACCAGTGTTCGATGATTTTTGTTCCCACGTTCTGGTCTGATACTGTACGTTACGCCGAGGCCCCAAACATTTCCATGGCTAACTTCAGCAATACTGGTTTCACTGCTGACCATACCGAAAACCAACACATCAACTCAACCATTCAACAACAGTAGTTATTTATTTGTTTATTTGTTATTTACTCGAACTGATAAATTTGCTAGAAGCAGAATAACATATAGAAATTATTAGGGCTTCACCCTGTAAGGATAGTGAACCTAGGAGTAGGGAACCTGACAACATGGCTATTCAATGCTTCCCTCTGGATAAGGCCTTAATATCATTCAATTCCAGAATATCACGTCGAACTCGTCCGAATCCAAGCGAAAAATCAACGTGGCAGCTGAAGCACGGTTCGGTGGTAACGTGGATGTAATCTGCTCACGAGGACATTTCTCCTACGTTTTCTCGTCTAATCTATACTGTGAAGCTTCCAAAGACCTCGTTACATGCATCGCTTTCCGACAAACAGCCAGCGCTTAATGAAGCTACCTGGACAAATCATCTGAATAATGCCTTTAGAACATCATAATTATCAAACGAATCTGTGATGCATTCCTCTTACATATGAATTTCACCCAACTGGAGAAGAACTCTTTTGGCCTTCTATTCACTCGCCTTGGCTAGCAGAGAGCATGGCGATACGCTTTCGGACGAATTGCTCAACAAAGGAACCACGCAGGTGAATCGTTAGCTGTGGTTCCACCCTGGTTCCAGCCATCTCGGAAGAACTTTTTAATAGTCAGTTTATATTACTTAAAGAAAAGAGTGCGCCGCAAAGAGTGATTCATCTGAAATCCCGTTCAATTGAAAGCTTACCGATATTATTCTAAGCCTGACTCTGTTCTCAATAGAGCTTGCATGTTTTAATTGACCTACGCTTTTAAAAAGCCTGTATATTGAATGAGGAATTTCCTTGTGTTTGTTCATACAATGTCATTTCCTAGATTTAACAATATACTTCATTGTATGTAAACTGCCACGACCTGTAAGTGATGACTAGTGTTCGCTTATTGTGCAAATGTCCTGTACAGATTTCACTGAGTAATAAAACTTGTTTTGTCATCTGTCTCGCCCAAATCTTTCAGTTAAGTTCTAGAACGAGACCGCATCAGGACAAGAGTGGTATGGCATCCAAATTGACTGTTTCCTGCTCCCACAGTTCAGTCAAGTTAAACTATTCGGTAGAAATTTACAGTTGTATTGAGTTTCATGGCGTAGGCAAGCAAGCCTTCCATCTCTCGGATTAGAAAATTGCTACCAGAATGTGAGGACAAAAGCACTTACTTGTACATCTGCAAGCCACTGTCGTCAATGTAAAAGCCATATGCGCATTCACTACGCCACTATGATAATGAATGGAAGTCGAGAGCGTGGGCGCATCCTTCAGACGGGGTTGATTAACGTCCTGAGGCTTTTTCGACTTTACTCATCCTTTTCCTGAAAATCACGTACACGGATGAATGCCATTTGATACAGGTGCGAGTGTCAAAGCTACAAGAACAACATCTGAAGAATCGTTACCAATAAACCCGGAAACTCCGATGTTTAGCATACGACCATTTGAAATGTGCTAATGATCAGCAAAGTCCATTCTTTGCTTAGTAGCAGCGGTGCCAATAATCTGAGGAGTCATGGTCTCACGCATGGACATTTATCTGCATATTTTTGCCAAATTGACTGATCGCTGGACAAATGGCATCTTTCAGAGTAAAGCGTTGAGCGCTCGCACGCTGTTGAGAAGCATGTCGGCGATCGATACCGCTCGAAAAGGCAGTGTAGCAAGTATAAATGCAGACAAATGAAATATGAAACTTATCCAAAGGAGCTTTATCACTCGCTTATATCATGCGCTCAGCATTCACAAAGCCTATATCTCTAGGTGCTCTATATGACTGGCATCCTTTTTCATCTCTACTTCCGCGCCAGGTGTGGGGTGTCTCGGGCGGCGTTAGGAACGATTTTGGGTAATCGATTCGCCGCACGCGGCTGTCGCGGACCACTCATTCGCCGTTATTACAGCTCTAGCATTCTTCATACAGCTCAATCGATATGCAATCATTATTTGATGCATAATTCTACTATTAGTACTACAGTCCTTCTAAGGCTCCCAGGGAGCGGCAAGGAGCTTTGAAGACTGGCCGCAGCGTCAGCGATATGTCGTTGACCCACTAGCGCAACGTCCTCCCTGCCAATTTTTGTAGAGGCAGCATATGTCCTTACGGAAAAACGGGTGATTGCGCACTGATAGGCGTGATTTACCAAATAGAATGCCGGACATGTGGGTCAACATACATCGGAGAAACGGGAAGACAGCTAGCTAT